GACCCTGGTTTTATCATTTACTACTTAGATGACAGACAACACGAAAGCGTCCCCGTCATTGTGAATATATATATTTCAAGTGTAGTTAGCGGGAGAAGCACGGTTACGACCCGTTGCGTGTTGCCTGTGTGAGGCAGGACTTCGGCCTCAACGAGGAAGCGTCCAACTGGCGCCCTGGGGCCATCTGCAACTCGCTCAAGCGCAGCGTGCGCGCGCCGCGCCGCGCCACGAGGCCCTTCGGCATCGCCCCCGGCCCGCGCAAGCTCTCCGTGCTGCACATGCCGCTCAGCACCGACACCGTGGTGCGTACGCTTAGCTACATAGCTAGATCGAATCCAGTCGCTGTCTGGAGGAGAATTCTAGTGGCTGCTCTGTTCGGCACTTTTTCGTGGTTTCTTCGATCAACACCAGGCGAATACCGGAGCAGTACCTTAACAAACGGGCCACGGACAGCAAGCTATCTTTCCTGCCTCTTTCTTGTCCTATCCTCACCCTTTCTTACATACACTTACATGCACACATGCAGGGAGACATGTCTGCTTAGAGCTTGTCCCGGCTGGGGCGGTTCCCCGCTATTGGGAGATAGCTGGCTAAGGAAAACCCCGCGAGCTGACGGGTAGGTTGGCTCCAGATCTTACCATCCAGCGGGGGATGATAACCGCCATCCCCTGCGATTACAAAATGCACTACACCTACGGGACTAATGACTTTATCAGTTGACGCTATCGGAATCACTTATCAATCTAGCAGCTACAAGAAATAAGACCTCTTGTTCAAAGCATTACCTATCGACTATAACTTCTACTCACTGCCAATTTCCGATCCTAAAAACGATTAAAATAAAATAAAATACAACAGAGTTCAAAATTCTGAAAATTCATTGCTACAATGTTCGTGTTATAAATAACTTCATAGCGATTCGCAACTTCACAATGAAATAACATCACAGCCAACTGAATGTAACATTTTTGGTCGGCGTTCAGAGTTGCTACAGATTGTTCCACCAATAAGATCAGTGGTTTTGAGTAAAAAGTGCGCAAAGAACGCATTTGTATTAAATGAATTTACCCCAAATTAAAAGCCCGAATATGTCACTTTTACATAAGGCGTTATCAGAACTTCTAACGCAATAATCCATAACATGTATAATACTTTAAAGAATGATAACGCTTTTGTACGTGTAAGAAGTGACTGGGACAAAAATCTTTAAATGTTCTACTACTGGATAAGGAATTACCACCTAAAGATACAGAAGCGAGACGAAAACATGAAATTGGGTAATTATGATACAAGAAATACAGGCGCATGCCTCTGATCTGTACAGGCTCCTCGGATGGGCCTGGGATGGCCCTTTAATTTTATATAGATTTTGAAGTTGTACTCGATTCTGACCAGCCATTCATGCCCAACACTGGTTTTGCTTCAGTACACTAGCATTGGACTCAACATGCAAACGGTACGTCTTAGAACCCTACAACACTATTTTCGGATTACCAAAAGACGTCCATTTGGTGCGACCGTGTATCACACAGGGCAAAACCTTTCATGGGATGTTCTCCAAAATGGATATTCCCCGAACGATCTGGCCGCGTGTAAGACTTTGCGGATTTTAAACTGTTCTTTAAACTTTAGGGATACTTAACATGAATCCCCTTCAATATTTCCTCAACAATTTGTTCTTTGATTTTTTGCTTGAGAGCGAAGTGAACTTACCAAAATAACACTTGTAAAACATTCATACAACCTTCAATTTTCGAAAATATATTAGGGAGTCGTCCATAAATTACGTAACGCAGAAAAGGGAGCAGGGGGTTTGAGGCAGCGTTATGCTGAGTTACATAGGTGTAGGGGGTATTACGTAACATTGAAAAGTGTTTACATTTTTAATATTTGTTGAAATACTTCATTTTTGGTCATAATAAATCATTAAATTATTATCTAATTAATTTGTAATAAATCAAAATTATTTGAAGTTATTAGAAGTCGTTACAATAAAGTTTGTATTTAATCTGTAAGATTAAGAAGAAAATATTCAAAACTGATCTGTAGTATTTTGTAGAATACAATTAAATTGGCTCAGTAAACTCTCGCCCATGCGCCATTCACAACGACGACTCGTGACCTCAAATTTTCTCGCCTGCGTGTTCTTTCTTCTCTCAAAATTTGCCCCCAACCTTATTGTTCAGTGCAGTCAGCATCGACAACTAATTCCGAATTTACTTATCATAAATTTTAACACACGCAAATAAAATGAATACAATATTTTTACTGAACTATAATTTATTTTCACTTCTTGCATTTACAAGGTGGGTTGTCGCTAGCGTTACGTAATTATTACGGATGGAGTTCAATCGCGCGTTGCGGGTGCGATACAGGGGGAGAGGGGGTATTCAAAATACTCCAAATTTGCGTTGGGTAATTTATGGGCGGTCCCTAATGGCGAAGCACTCTTGTTCTAGGATCATACCCCCGAAGAACCGTTCGTGCCCAATCCTACCCTTCACATTCACCGCTACCAAGGCGACTTCTTCGTGTCCATGCATCCGGACGAGATGACCGGAGAATCGGAGCCTCTGCAGTTCCGCATCATCAACAAGGAGAAGAAGCCGATCACGTGCCAGGACTCGGAGTCGGAGCTGGAGATCGAGCTATTCCAGCCCGGGGCTTTTCTGACTCAAAAGGGAAAGCAGTTTTGCGACGAGAAGACTCAATGTGAAGAACGGTACTTCCCGAAAGAAGAAAAGAAACGTACGCCCCCCGCTGAGCCGGAGCCAGAGGCAAAACCGGCGAAGGGCAAAAAAAGCAAGGCGGGCAAGGGCAAAAAGGGCAAAGGGAAAAAGAAAGGGAAAAAGTAGGAGACTTGTAGATAATAAAAACAATGTTCCGTTACAAAAAAACCTTTAAAGACCTCCCTCATCTCTAATATTATTATTGTATTCCGTTTTAAAATAGAAATGAGTTTTGTGGTACAATTATTTTGTATTTGTGCGCGAAAATAAAATTAAAATGCCTGCATACATGCATTGTTCAAAACATTATTTCGGTTACTCAGTACATTGTTTTGGATTCTATTGCTCTGAAAGACCAGCGAATTGTATTTTAAATCTCTACTTGTTGGACCCGTGCAAACTTTTCTCAAAATCATTGGTTTTAAAGTCAAAATTGTTGCGTAGTGGATGCAAACTTCCGACATCCAGCCCCTTAACTGGACATTAGGGGGAATGTTCGTGCCAGTCGCTGGTCAAACACTCGACCATTTATACAAATTAACAGTGTCTGCTTGTAAACGTGAACGGGACATTTAAATAATTATTGGTAAACAGTTAAAAGAGAAGTATTGAATGTAAAATAATATTGAGTAAAAATGTAAAATAATATTGAAAAGGGCCTTATTTTGTGGAATGCTACTTACAGTATCATAAATCGCACTCCACTTGCTCCCCGCTTGTTACTTCAAACATTTCCAGAATTCATTTCCTTGATACCGAAAAATCGATTGACAGCACAACGTTTTGTCCGTTCGTCCTTCTGCCCGCCCGGATATTGTTTTTATGCATTATTGCAATTTGCGAACACAAGTGCTTCTAATGATTGCTGATGAAGTTTCTCGAAAATTTTCTGTGAAAATTTGGAGCCGTCCAAATTTTCAATGAAAATTTGTACATAGGATTGTTTTACTCTTCTTATAAAATATATATTATATTCTTTATATCTTCGTAAGATTCTTAGAGATATATTTCAATTCCACTATTAGGAAACTGAAAAAATGAGAAAAGGGGCATTTTTGTCCCGATTGGTAGCAGCTTGGAAAAGGGAGGGGCAAAAGGAAGGTCTAGACTAGACATGAGAAAAATAACTAGTGCGAGAAAGCCTGTGCTATTATGTCGTGTAAAAGAGTAAATGCAGTAACATAAGAACTTTCAACATAAAATATATAAAGAATTATTATATATGACCTAAACTGTGTATGACCTATGAAGCTAAACTGTATCCCTGTAACTGTATGTAAATGAATAAATTCCCGCCTCTGTAGGGCTACTGAAGAGGGTAAAATTAAGGTAAAAAAGCAAATGTTGTAAACGCAGTATTATAGGCAAGAGCCAAGAACGTTGTGCAATACCTGGAAGGACACCAGACGCTAGGAGGGCACCAGACACTGATTAGAAACCAATTGTGTGCTCTTTGTTTTCAAAATGATTCCACATACATTGATATCTTGAATATTGAATGTCATTAAAATGAGAATGTCTATTCCTAACATATAAAATATTTTTCGATTACTTGGGGGTTGTGCAACGCCTGTGCATGAGCCGCGACTGCTTCCCATTCCCAAATATTAGGATGTGGACAAAAGTTAGCGATCCAATGCATGGTTAATTAAATGAAATAAAAAAAATCAGAAAATATTTTTCTATCAATCAGTATTTTGTTCCTGTGTCACAGAGGCAGTCCTGTCGTACCACAATTCAATTTTTCTACAAATATTTTGTTTTGCTTTTCTTTCCTTGTGAATTTTATATTTCATATTTTAAATATATATATCGTACATCTTATGAGGCACATTTGAAGTATTTTTACTGCGCAGAAATTCGGGCTCGATTGATAATAAAGTGTGATGAATCGCAATGAGTTATGTGGATTGTCTTTGCGACTTTCCCAAATATGATAGTTTAGTATACGCTCCATGTTTGCCAACTCACCAGAATCACGCTCCTTAAGGATTTCCAACATTGGAGTTGTAGTTTAGTGGAGTTGGAGTTGAAGTTTAGTACACGGGAGGATCCAGTCGATCATTTTGGAGGGGCATCATAGATTTTTGTTACATAAACATATTTGTTATATTGTGTATTTTTGTAGTTTTGGCCTATATACGATACTACACAATATTACATTTTTAATAATTATATAATTCTAACATAAATATTTTAAAAATATTTGCCAAATAAAAGAACGTAACAGCCGGTCCAGATGGCCGAAATCGTTCAGGCAATAATGCCGTGGCCGTAGCGATCTCAGCTGGAAGAATCGCGGGCAGATCGCGGGTTCGAGTCCCGCCTCGGTCATGGTCGTATTTGTGTTCGTTCTTTCTTTGCCTATCATCGCCATATCATGTCATCTTCATGGTCATCTCACCGTTAAATGGAATAGTGGTAGCTAATGGCCTAGACGTTGATGCGACCTTGAAGGGGTAACAAACGAAAACTCTAAGTCTTGGGAAGAGTAAACCCATACCACAGAACATCCCTAGCTCATCCAAGCCCGTATTGTACTCCGCAGAGAGTATAAAATATTCTTCATATCATCTGCTGTCATACCAAGTGTGTAGATGGATTACCAAGATATGTTTTACACCGTGGTGAATAACACGCTCTCTATCGCTCTACTAGTATACGGATAGAATATTATCGGCAAGGTATTATATGGATATACTGTCTAAACTGAGAGTATATCGTATAGATAACAATTTTCCTAAAGACACATAAAAAAAAAGCATCTCAGACGCATTCACTAATCAAACATTTCATTGACAAAAAGAACATACAAAACATTCATTACGTTAGGTTGTGGGTTGGTTGGTGTTGGTATGATTTGATGCATGAATGCACGGTTCAAGAGTGCGAATCGCAAATAGCGAACATCACGGCAGCAAGCAGATTATATTTTCTGTTATCACAAAGAGTATTCTTATTGTCATTAGATCGATACTGTTAAAAGTTTAGACATTTCATTACGAAAATAGACTTGTACAGTACATTCTACGATGGATGATGTTCATTCAATTAAAATCGAACCTTTAGGTGAATCAATTTATGTGAAGCCTTTTCATATGACATACATTCAGGTAAACAGTACAATTAATTCCTGGAATGTACGTTATTTATTTTCTATTATTTTTTTACCCATATGAATGTTTTACAATTTTTTACAACAAAAAAAATTATGCATTTTTTTATGGTATGTCTTCTTCTTCTTATTATTATTATTACTACTACTTATTATTATTGGTACTAGATTAGTTGATTGTAGACAGGTGCGGCAGGTAAATCCAGTTTATTATTAAAATATATTTTAAAACTTACTACAAATTTTATTGAAGAATGATTTAAAATTAAAATAATAAACTGGACACACTTGGCCATCATGACTGCATAAATATAGGACCGCATTCACCTAACCTATTATGCGTTTATTTAATGAACTCATATGATGGTATGGAGTAAAACAGATGAATGGTAATCACTCAGATGTATCAAATTGCATTAAATTTTATAAATTAATCAAATATCATGAGTTACTATCAAAAGTTGTAGTTCTTCCTTATATTGCACACAAAACCTGTCTCCTTTGCACTTCTAGTAATTTTTACTGATGGTTTGTGTTCCCTTGTTACTTTCTTTTCCAGAATGGAGTTAAAAAGTTTTGGGACTTTAATGTAGTACATGACAGGTACGTATATAATTATACATTGCAACACCTTTAACTGTCATCACTTTGTGTATTTTCGTGCCTTGAAATCTGATCTTTCAGCTCATGTAATAGGTGCAAGTTTCTATTTCTTCTCATTGTTGTAGTGTCTCTGTTCTGCTCTTTAATGTCTCAAGAAAAGTATTTGTATTTGTCCGGCAATTCCGCCCAGGTATAAATCAGATATTTTTGATTTACATAAATATAAGAACAAATTACATTAACTAAAAAACATATTTCCCTTAGCTGTGTTTTTTAACAGTATTCCTGAAAAAGAAAAGTATTTAGTAGAAGCCACGAACACAAAACTTCCTCTTCCACCTATAGAGCAAGGTATCACTCTTGAATTGTGTGCTGGAGTTGTGGATAAGGAGAAGTCTCTTGAAGAAATTGCCAGAGAAGAGGTTCTAGAAGAATGTGGGTATGATGTTCCTGTTAAGCATTTGGAGAGAATATTATCTTACAGGTAAAAATCTGTCTGAAATTTAATTTTGTGTATGTGCATTTTTGGGAATGAAAATATTTAAAACTTTTTATAGAGATTCCATAGGAATTGCAGGTGACAAACAAACAATCTTCTATGCAGAAATTACAGATGATATGAGAGTTTCAAAGGGTATGCAAATCTTCCCGTTTATTTTCTATATTTCAGAAACTGCATTCCTTTAATTCCTTCTTTAAAATTACAGGTGGTGGCAAGCCTGAAGAAGGAGAATTAATAGAAGTGGTAGAAATGAGCGAAACAGAAGTGAAAAAGTACCTTGAAAGCGGTGATGTTCTTAGCCCCGGAGGCTTTGCCTTTGCATTATATTGGTTCTTTGAGAATAAAAAAAATATTTATTCTTGCCATTGTTCTTAATTAGCAGTATGATTGACAGACACTTTGAGTACTATTAATTAATCCAATTTCCCCTCCAATTAACTCTAGAGGTCGGCTGTGGTCATTTTTACCACAAGCGTACATTTTTTTTCCCCTTTGTTTTCCCCTCCCTCATTTTATTTATTTCACAAAATGTTTAAATATTTGTAGTTTTTTAATGTGTTTATTTTCAAATAAAATATACTTAATATATGTGACATAATACAATAATAATAAGAATAATAACTTCGAAGTAACTCCATCAATATGAAAAGATCAACTGAATGGTTGAGAACTGCTGGGCTTTTGCGCAAGACGGAAGGATTTGTGCTGGCCCTTCAAAATCAGGTAGTAACCATTAACTACAGTTAATATATCGTGAAAGAGAACATCAGTGGCAAGTATCACTTGTGTAAGATGTGCCATGTCTGTAAAACCATACATACGCCTGTGAGAATACTCAGAAAACAATTTGTACTGGATTGTTTAAGACTTCAGTCTTTCATGTCAAATCAAGTGTTTTGCAAGTCAGTTCATTGCTTGATCAGATAATTCTTTTTAGTTATTTTCAGAAGACAGACAGAACTTCCTTTAAAACTATTTCTTCTTCCAGATAGAAATATTCTCCAATGATTTCTTGCACAAAAATTCCTCGCATTTCATTTCGATCCCCACAAAAGAATTTTTGGATTTTCTTTGGCAGAATCTCTGACCATTCAGTGAAAATATGTTTGTAATTTCCTTCCCTTATATTTGATAACAGTGAATTCAATCATTAGGCAAATAGTTCCATCCAGGTACCACCATTTTAAATAACTTAAATATTTTCTTGCAAAACAAATTTTCCCATGCCGTTGGGGTTAATTTTGTGCCCAAGAACATAGCTCCTGTCTAAAGGGCTAATAACCAATTTAAAATATGCTCATTTGGACCGTTGAATATAAAAGTCAAGTGTGCAGTATTTTAGCAAAACTGCAATTTGGAGTTAATTGATAGGCTTCCAAGTGGCTCAGTTATCGGTGATATAAAATGGAAAAATCATAAATCTGATTTACAAAAATATTTATCGTATAATTTTTAACGAGCTCATGTGTACATATAGTAGTCAGTGGGAGCTCTTGCTCAAGTTGCAGGTTTGCACAACCACCAGACAATGGACAAAAAAAAAAAAGCAACAACTTATAATTCCTATGTTAGGAATATAAATTTTCCATTTAATGATATTCAAAATTAAAGATACTGCATCAATATCGATGTACTATTTAAAATCAAAGGACGCCCAAGGAACGCTCTCTCCAACATCTTGTGCGCTTCCAGGCAGTGCACCATATGGCGCTAAGCTCTTACTGCGTTTACTCCTTAGACTCTCTATTCTTTACCAGAGGAACCCTGTTGTTTCTGCACCGCAACTAGTTACCGGCTTACAAGCGCTTTGGCCCTGCTAGCCGTTTCAAACTCTTGATCGAGGAAGATCAATTTTGGAGAAAATCAACTAAATGGTTTGGGAGTTTTTGAATTTTTATTGCCTTTTTCGTGCAAATTACTTACTTTTTTGAAAAATTTAACGTAATTTAAACACTTGTATCTTACTATAATTGTAGGAAGACTTCTCGAGGAGGGAAGAAAAAAAAAAAAAAAAAACTTGGGGATTTCAACGAAAATTAATCCCACAGGATCTTCATGCCATTCTAGTACAATGTTTCATCCAAAAATGTAGAAATCTTTTTAGAAAATATTGAAAATATTCAGGCTTCATGAAAAGTACCTCAAAAAATCAAAATCGGGATTCTACGATTATATGGAGTTATTAAACTTTTACTTAACCATGATTATTGAAATTTTACAATTTTACACACAAGTATTGTAATATAATTTCTATGCCAATGACCCCATCTCAATCAGGATTTGTTAAGTTTCAAACAAATTATCGTATATTAAAGAAAAATTTGTACTGAATTATTTTCAATAATAAATTATATTTTAAAAGATAATTATAATTAAATTGAGTAAATTAAAAGTCAGCAACATCTCGCACGTATCAAGATAAATCTTATAGAGTGATCTGTAGGCCCTAAAAGGAAATGATCAAATTAATAAATATTCCAAATTAATTGTCTGGATATTACTTTGCTCATCGAGCACATGGTTGCGAGAATTCATGTTCTTCCACGCAATATTAGTAGCGGTTAAGTAATATGCATTTACGTTGCAACTAATATAGATATACATTTTGCCACTAATGTTCTAAAATTTGTTTCAATAAGTTAAACAAAGTGAAGGGATTTTGAGAATATCTAACTGCCTCTGGCTCTCAAATTACTGTTACAGACTCACACCACCACAACAAAAGCGCTGGAAATTCAAACTTACCAATTTAAAATTATTTCCTATTTACGCAAAAAATATAATTTTGAAAAATCAAACATGAACTTATTTGAAGGCGTTTTGATGAACACATTTCATTAAGAAAAAATGTATCTTCATAATTGTAGTTGTAGGAAAACACCGAATTTTTTGTTGTTTTTTTTCCAATTTTCAAAAAAAATACGGTTTTCAAACAACATGAGACCTACACCACTTTCTTAAACGTCCTTCAGGCTATCTACCACCAAAATTTCATCACAAACAATGGACCCATTTTTAAGAAAAAAGTGATTAAACAAAACTTCAATATTGTCTATATTTCAGGCAAAATTACATGCAAAATACTCAAATTTTCGAAAAATTGTACATGACCTTATTTAAAAATTTATCTGTAAGGAACAGATATTAAGGAAAAATATTCTCTCTTTAATATTTTAGTTTTAGGTAGATGCCAATTGTTTTTGTGGAATTTTTGCAGGTTTTGAAAACTTAATTTTCAACGATAATGAGACATGCACCATTCTCTTAAACATCCATTACACTATCCAATAACAAATTTAATTAAATACGATGGAGCAATTTTTTTTAATGTCCCAGGGTTTTCATGTAAAGTACTGCCCAATTTTAAAATATAGATTTCAAATTCAAAGTGCAGCAACATCAAGCAGATTGATTGGGGAATATGAATTTTGAAGAAAATCAGCTGAACGGTTTAGGCGGTAGCGTTGTTCGCAGACAAGCGGATGGACAGTCGTTTTGAGGTCAAGTGATTTTTCGGTATCAAGATCCCAAAACATGGATTCTGGCTTCACCACGTATTAGACCATTTTTTCTCTAGATTTAGCACTTTTATGGATTTATCCACTTTTTGTTGCCAGGGCCTTGCAATAATTTTTTGTGCCAAAAATATTTTCGCGCAGCATTATATAACTTTCTCTCTACTGCAATAGCGCGAAAGTAAATTAATGGTGCTTCAACAGCATGTACTTTCTCGCGGTATTGCGAATAGCTATGTGATATTATAATGTGACAATTTCTCTCATACACTTCGATTAGATTCGAAAAATTCCTAAACAAACGGAGCTTGGGAAATACATTTTTTAATTCAAACGTTTAAATGAAAATAACTCTCTGCCTTTAAATTCAGTGTATCCACATTCAGTGTATCCACATTCTACATAAAAGTACCATAGATGCGTGATGCGTATCGTAGCCCCAAAAAATTATTAGTTTATATTAATTTCCATGGGATACATTTTGAAAATTATCATTGATACCTCCGGCAAGAAAATGAAAAGGGTTACAAAATTTAACTAGTGGTGCTACAGAATGGCACTGACTTTCTGGTATTAGTTTTCTATTTCTTTTGATCTTGCCTAGTTATTCGAACTTGCCACATACTCTTGCCTGCCGCCATCTATCGCCACCAACAATACACTTTTTGAAAATTTCTTAATTTTTCAGTTTCCTAATAGTAGAATGGAAATATTGTTTTTACATTTTAAAGAACAGTAAAACCTTGTCCTAAACAGCAATTTTCTTTGAAAAAGTTGGAACCGTTTTTTAAGAAAATGACACTTCAGCGCTACATTAAATTCAGAATTTGAAGCACTTTTTCACAGAAAAATTTAATTTTCGAAAAGCTTCATTTGAAGCACATCCACTCACAAATACAACAGTCTTTACAAATTGCTGGAAATGTGCATATTAACAGCATGAAAGATATGTTCAAATAACCAAATTGATTTTCTGCAGCATTAAATAACTTATAAAATATTAATTTGCAAACATTCCTGGGATCTGCCACTGTTCAGTAATCTGTTTTTTCTACCCTGAAAATTTGTTCGCGAGCCACCACTGGAGGAGACACAAAGTTAGAGGATGAAATAGTTAGGCATTTGAAAAATTGTTATATTTGAATTTTTTAAGATATTTTCATTTATTTTTGTTTAATAAATTTCTTTGACAAGGGCATTTTGAGCTGTATGCAAAAATTGTATTTACATCTGTTGCAAAAATAGTATTATATTCTTAAAATCGAAATCTGACATAAGGAACTTTGAAACATCATCTATATTATTTCTAAAATGTTATGCAAACATTTCTTTTCCAGATGAACCATTCAAACAATCTCAGCAAATAAGGTGTTGTTTAAAAGTTGGAATTTCCACATATCTGCATGTCCACTTATTTTTGTGTATGTTGTACAAACATTAATAATCTTAAAAATCTCTTTATTAGATAAGAAAATGCATGTTTATGAGGAATTCCTATGTATATCTTCCATTTTGAAGCTTCTTCATAACATTCCTTTCCCCATGCAATTTTTACCGATGAAAATTGGGAAAAGATGTTTGTGTACACCATATTAGTGTTTGATATTTTAACATTACTAAATGAAAAATAATTGAAATATGTAATAGTTTCACTCAAATTGTTTTCAATAAAAAAATTAATTAGAAGTAAAACTACTGGATGAATTTAAAAATTTTGGAGGGTATATGTCTTTCCCGCTAGCAACAATGTTGATTATAGTGATAAATAAATGCCTGGTCAATGCTGGGTTTGTTCAACTAGAATTTTATAAACAATCTATTTTTACTTTCTCCATTCTTGTCCAATGATCGTTGTTCTTTGAATTTCAATACTATATTTTTTTTGTTAATAAAATGCATGTTTCTGTGATAGAGAAGAATGTTGCTAACACAAATATTTTTTTCATGGACAAATTCATGTTGTAGCAACTATTTGCTTCATTTTTTGAGTTGAAATTAAAAAGTCTTGTGTTGAATTTATTAACTCAATACTTATTGCCCCCAATCAATAGTGAGACCATTACCACCCTATCACAGTAGTATCGTTTCAATCTTGTGTGTTGTTGCTCAGTATGTTACTCACAAAGGAATAGATTTAACTCCATTCACTTCATTTAATACTTATGATAGAATTTTGACGCACTGATTGCATACAAACCAAGGTAACATTTTCATTAATCCTGAAAAAACTGGGGTAAAGGTCTTTTCAGAAAATGAATGAACAAAGAAAATATAAATTATCAAGTTTGATAAAACATTTTCAATATACAATTCTTATGACACATTAGCTTTAAAAAGTCAATACTCTGAAGCATTTTGTTTACAAGAAAATTCACATGACTAGTTTTGTGGCCATGAGTCAAGATTACTGACATCCCATTCATGCAGTAAAACAATGATTATAGGCAGTTGTTAACGGGCCAATAAGGACTTTGCCTCATCTTTAGCGAACTGCGAGCTCACCCATGCTAAACACCATTTTAGATTTGTAAGTAGAAATTTGAGAGCTTTTGTCCATTGTTCTTCAGAATTGAATTGAATTCTGAAACAAAAAAATTGACATATATAATCATCATCATATTAACAAATGAAAAAATGGCATTTTAAATGCACACATAGAAATCTTTTCTTAAAAGCATGCTATGAAATTAGTGCAGACTTGTAATTATAGGAAAAGACCAAAGAACATTAATCAATATCTGACAGATTTAATGACATATAGAGTCAACATTTCAAGACAGAGGACATCTGAAAGAAGAGTTTACTCAACGACATGTAATGTGAAATCCTGGTATCTCACATTACATTCACTTTTTGAAGTATTAATTGGGTAGAATGACAACACACAGAAAATGATCTCATGTGCATGACTTTTTATGGAATTCTATTCCCTTTAAATTTTCGCTGCCAAACATGGAGACTTAATGTATTTATGATTTCATTAAATTTCATTGTTATTTCTTATTAACAATGCTTGATGGATAAAACAATAGACTTGTTGATAGGAATGTTAAGAGAAATATCCTATATATGAAGCAGAGTGCATTTGGAACAGGAGTCACAACATGAATGGAAAAAGTAAGGCAAGTTCTTGATATCTATGGTGTTGGGCAATGATCTCAACCTCATTTCCAATCAGGTTTTTTTTTCTCCTTGTTTTTATTTTTCATTTAGAATTTTTGGCAATTTTTTTGTACTTTCTATGACTGAAGATAAGCATAATGCTTAGTACATCTCCAATCCCGTTATTGTCTGTCACTTCCTGTCCAGAAATGCACCCACAAAATAATGGCCTTCCTGAGACCACCCCATTCATGAATGACATATACCTAGGAAAACAATTGGAATGTGTCTGAACCCATAAATAAAAGCAACAATATGGGATCTTTGACAACTGAATATCCAGACAGTTAATGCTTTTCTCAAAAATCTAGTATGTTTTATAGAAAAATTTGTTGGAGTTTGTCATGTGAACGCAAAGAAATCTTCGCACAATCAGGGTCAAGTTTCAGGAGTTGTATAGTTCCTTTGTTGGTACAACAGAAGACAGATGTACCCGTAATGAGGAGACAAGTGTCAGGGAGCCATGGGAAAAAAATATCTCTCAATACTTTTCTTATTATTCAATTATGATTTAAATTTGAATCAATATTTGTGAGGAAAAAATCCTTTGGGCTTAGAAAGGTGGGAGGCTAGTAACTCACAAAAGTTTGTCTAGGAGTCCAAGATCTCTAAGGGTGACCCTGCAGGGGAGATGATCTATTGCCTTTTTCTACTTATTTTATGTTCTGAAAGTTCTATATAAAGTAATATTATTTTTCTAAGGGCAATTCTAGGCAATTAAAGGTGACTTTTTCTGTTCTTCTGTTTCAAGTTAAACTTAAAATATTACACAAAATTCAAAACAACTTCAAGATCTTGATGTTTAATAAAATAGTTATTACATTAAGTAGTGTTTACATTAAAAATTAAAACATCACATAATGATTTTCTTTTATACAACTTAATACACAACAAATTTACTCACTTGATAGAGAAGGAATTACTTGATGCAGAATCTTCAATTTTTCCCTTATCCATTCTATATGGGAGGCAAAAACCAGAATCTCCTTTTTCTACTTCTTCCTTAAACTGTTGTAAACAATCAAGGAATGCAACCATTGCCGCATCAAATTTAGTGTCCCAGAGAAAGCGAAATCCTCCTGACCCATACAATGGCAACTTGCGATGTTCAGATAGTACCTAGTGTTCAAAAGAATTAAATCATAGGATATGTGCCAGAATACAAATGAATTCATCTTTTCATTCTCAACAGCTATTTTAAATTTTGTAAGATTTTTTTATAAAAGAAAAAAAACAACTTGCCTCAATGTATGAATGGTTGCCATAAGGCACAATGCGATATCGTTCAAAAGTCAGGTTCATTTTACGAGCCAGTGCTGTTAGCAATAAAGCAGTTTGGCCCCAGGCAGCATTGATTTCACTCCAGTCTACAGGTACACTAGGTAATCTTCCCAAACGAAAATTATTGATTGTTCCAAAATGACCACTGTGCCATATTAGGAAGGTAGCATTGAACACATTAGTCTTTTTAAGTTTGCTGAGCTGAGCCTGTGTGTAGTGCAACTGGCACTCTAAGCTAAAATGAGAATATTTTTATAGTTATAAATATTGAAAAGGATTTGGAAACAAATAGAATTATTATAAATAGGGAGTGGATTTCTATGATTTTATATATTTTTGTTCCTTGCTTCAGGGCATAGCAAAGTGAAATTTCTTGACATTTATTAGAATTGGATGCATGTAGATTAATATGTTAGTACACATTTGACCGATTTTTCTGTATGCATAATTGTGTGATTTTGGGAGCGTATTTTGCATATTTTGTTAAAATAGAGACTTATCTCTAAAATGTTTCAACTTTTCATACAATCTATCTATTTCTGAGCGTTTATCGATTACAAAGAGCTTGTCACAGTTGCCATGCTTTTTTTCCTTTTCCATTTATAATAAAATACTTGTGAAAATCTAGGAAATTTCTCGGTATTATTATTATTTTTTTTTAAATTCAGGCAGAAGAAAGGCAACAAGGCATACAACGTACTACATCATAAGGTGAATATTTACTTTAATATTATTTCTCCTGTGAAGTAAGGTAAATTATGTTGTTTGCACAAAAATATGTCATTTCATTCCAAGCATGCTTCCTCTGAATTTTATTAAGAAAGGTTAGTACAGAAAATAAAATACCGTTAATTCTATTTGCATATTAAAGTACGTATTTGAGAAATTTAGGTCATAAATCCATATTTGTCAAAGCATATTTAAAGACTTTTTAGGACAAAAAATTCCTCTCCCTAATTATAAACACTCAAGAAATTCAACACTTAGTGTTATCTATTACCTGCGAAATTCGTCCTCTGCTTGAAGTAAATCCCATCGATGTCTCATATATTCTCTCCAATATCGAGCTTCCTCTCGATCCAGTTTTATTCTCTCGTCCTCTTGCTGAGCTATTTCTGCTTGAACTACTCGCTCACGACCTTGTAATTGCGTCAATTCAGTTACCAACCTTTCCTCTTCAGTTTTTAACTAAAGAATCACATTTACCAAATAATAATTAACTGCCCTTGAAATACATATATATTTTTATTACTAATATGGAAAACAAAAATTGCATAGGTTCCATTCTTGAGCATGTTTGACAATGTTTAAACTAATACTGAATCATCCATTGGTCAATTATTATAAATTAATGATAATACAATGCTCTTCACATCTGTAGAATTTTGGCTTTCAAAATATCACAGAAGAGCACTTTATCGTAAAGTCTGCAAAATAAGTAGAAGTAAAGTTTATCTACAAGAAAACTAGTGAAGCTACCACAGCACATACTTTCTCGCATTACTAGTAACTATTTAAATTTTCGAAAATTCAGTTTAACAAAAATAAAATCTATGTTATTTATATGGGTGTACTTTGTTCTACTTACTACACTACTACTCCGGTACTACAGCCCACCCTCTGGATGCACGCAATCACCAGCTCACCCTCTAGTTGCATGCAATCGCCAGCCCACCCTCCGGTTGCACGCAATCGCCAGCCCACCCTCCGGTTGCACGCAATCGCCAGCCCACCCTCTGGTTGCATGCAATTGCCAGCCCACCTTCCGGTTGCACGCAATCGCCAGTCCACCCTCCGGTTGCACACAATCTTTTGGTAAAAAATGGCAGCATCGTCAATTAGACATACACAAAGGAACGGCTGTAGAGAGGTGAAACGTGTATATGCTTTACCTATCGCGATCCTAGGCCATCCATACATGCCAGAAAAGATAAGCTAGGTGTGGAAAGGCGATGCACGGTGGGTAGAAGAGCCCACCATGCCATGACATACGGCTAAACATCCATGTCCAAGCAGGATTCAAACCCGCAGCCTTTCTAAGATTATCACAGTGCATTCAGGATTTTGCCTATCAGTCTTAAACTGATACTGTTATTTGGATTTGGAGAAAATAATAGTGTCTTCTATAATATTGTGCCATGTGTTCAGAACGTCGTAATAAAGAAAACAAAGATGCATCATGAGATTTTGGAAATTGGAATCAGAAGATTGAGGGGTGTAAAAACAGATCGTGAAGATAATTATCAAAATTTGGAGCTCTGGGATTTGTTCCACAAACTCTAGATAAGAATTTGCACAAACTCCTAGGACGTTCAAAACATTGATGTGTGCAAGACAGAATTACTGGGAACAGCCTATATTTTGTGCTAGAGGCATCAACAGTCACTAGCTCTGTTCCTTAGGAAGCTGGTTGCAACCTAGAGTAGGTTTCGCTTTTGAATGGCATCTAACATCTTTGGTCATGAATTTGTGGAGTAAATAATAATAAATAGTTTAGTTAGTTATAGATATTTTATGTATCAGTTTTTATTTTTATTATTCTTATTATTACAGTAACATCTGTCTAAACCAGAACCTGCATAAGCCGAAAACCTGTCATAACCAGAATATTTCTCCAGCTTGTGAAGTTAAATGGCACTTTACACAGCAAAAAATAAACAAAGTTAACAAGTCTTTTATACTCACATCTTCCAAATCTTTCTCTAAGATTTCCAAGCCTTGTTCTTCATCTTCCATCTCCAACCTAAATGTAAGACAAATTTAGTAAAGCTTTATAATTTATTGTCTTATCCTTATCTTATTACAGAAAAATATAGAGTGTGATTTGATTCAATGCAGCATTAATTGAGTATATTAATTAACAAACAACATTAAACTAAGAAATGAACTAACATTATTAAAATCTTCTCAGTTCTGTTATTAAACTTCAAACAAGGGTTGGGGAAGGAAAAACTTTTTTAATTAAAAACCCAGTAAACTGTTCTTTTTTACTCTCTCGTATACGTATGTATATACAGAGCAAGATACATAGTAGTACGTATAGATAAAGTTATGAAAAGCTACAGCAAAAAACAGCGATTTTTGGATAAAATACTTCATAATATGAGGCCATGATACAGAAAAAGTGAATAAATCTTGATTAAATACCTAGTAAATTATTTTTTCTAACCCTTTATTACTTTAGTACTTTATACCCAGTGGCACCTGCTACCTTTAATTAATAGTTGGGGGTGCATGCAAAAACAGAAAATGAATTGAGATCAGACGAGATGTTCAGAACTGGTGTAGATTTACCGCAAACATATCTTCATTTGCAGGAACTTCACTTAAGTTTTTTTGAAGCATTTTAACTCTCAAATACAATAGTGTTTACAAATTGCTGGAAATGTAAATATGAAAAGAGATCTTTCAAATAAATTACATTGGTGTAATTTGCAAAGAAAATTCCCCGAAATTAATTTTACGTCATATTAAGGAGTGCAATATGCACTATCCCTTCAAAAAGTTTGAAGGAAAAAATTGGAACGGTTTTTGAGACAGTGGTAGTAAGTGTTTCTGAAAATGAGGAATTTTGACGAGGCTTTACTGTTCTTTAATTTTCTTAAAATATTATTTGTTCTATTAGGAAAATTTTGTTAAAAAAATTGTTATTTTGGCCGGCAATAGATGGCAGTAGGCAAGAATTATGTGGCAAAATCGTATAGGTAGACGAGACAAAAGGAAATAGAAAACATTTGAGAAAGTCTGTGTCATTCTGTAGCACCCCTAGTTTTCATGTAATCTGTTAGATTACAAAGAAAATATTTTTTTTATAAATGCAATTAAATTGACACAGTAGATGGTACAGTACGGCAGTGTATCATCCATGATGGTGAAGTGTTTACTGGCGAATTTTTAGAGATTTTCTCCATCTTTCCTTCAACAACTGTTCCCTATCTCATTGTTAGGTGCAGTTTACTCATCAACTAATTCTGACCTCAATTATCATAAACTTAATCCAATTTGTTGTTTCTACTTCATCACTTATTGTAATGGGGGGGGGGGGGCTTGTTGCGAGTGCTACATAATTATTTAATGGGTGTGGTTTAAGAGCACCTTAAAGATGCATTATACGAGGGGGGAGGGGCAAAAGGGGTATCCAAAATATTGCAAATTTGTGTTACACGATTTATGGACAGTCCCTTGTCAGCCGCATGCAGATTACCTGCTTTAATGCAGTACAGGAAATCCCGTTCCCATGTTGGAATGTTTTCTTTTCAAAACCAGCTCAATAATAAAGTCAGTGGCGTAACTACTGCTGGCCCAGCAGTTGCAATTACCTGGAGTTCCCTGATGCAAGGGTCCCCACAAGCATTTTGCAAAAGCAAAAAAAAATTTGTTTTTTGGTCTTACTGAACATGCTTTAAAGATCCCTGAAATCGATTGGTATGCTGTACTTATTTTATTATGAAGATGCAAAGATATTTTTCAAATGTGTAATTTAATACCTGGGGCTTTAATTATGTCTTGCTTCATTTAAAGATTTGGGGAGGGCCATTCTGGTTTTCTTATATGTGATTTGAAATGAAGCGGAAATCTACATAGCTTGATTCTGAATTTTGTGACTGATTATGATTAATAAAGTTCCATTCAATTAGTTTTCAGCATGCCTTTTTTTCATTGGACGGAATTTTTTGAGGGAGCCCAAAGTTTTTGAACTAGGACCCTGAAAGGGCTACTTATAGCACTTTTTTGTGTTAAATCTATGGGATGAAAACAAAATCTATGAATATATAAGGCAGGAAAACTTTAACTTCCGCCCAAGTATTTAAACAAGGTTATCTGAATGAAATTTTCTCTCAATTACAATATTATTTTCTCAACATAATGAGCCAAGTAAAGTGTATTACTCTAAAATGTATCATGGGTATGTTGTTATGAAGTATTCATATTTAACAAAACATAATCAACTCTGAATATGTAATTGAAATGTCCTTAATTTCATTCTATAACTCTTTAAAAATTAGTTTCTATATTTTGTAAACCTTTATAATTGCAAATAGTTCAGAAAACATACATACTTTTTAAGAAATTCACTGTAATCGTTCCATTCATCTTCAGTAAGTTTTAGCTGTTGATCCATTAAATTCAGGAGCGTATCTGTACATTCTTCACAAAGAGGATGATCAACTTCTGAAGCTCCTGACATTATGTCAAATAATGCTGCTCTCACCTGAATATTTTAGTTGACACAGAATAAAGTTTTAGATGCCCATTGCTGTTTTACAAAAATTAAGTTTGAAACCTAAACAAACTTACACGCATGTGGTGACTAAGACTCTCAGTCTCACCCTCCTCGCCCACAACAGTAAATCCATTTGCACCATTTCCAGAATCTGTCAGTCGAAATGGAGGTATATACTGATCAAAGCTCCCTGCTTGAGCTTCAAGATCCACTTCAGGTGTGGTATGGATTGGCACTGCAAAAACATTTCCACATTTGATTTTCACAACCCATAAGAACCAATACCAATTACACATTCATTCAATTTACTGGAAAATATAAATACTTACAAGACAATTCAGCAAGTGTGTGCTCTCCCAAATTATTGAAACCTGTGTCCAATTTTATTGGTTGTAAACAACGCTGGCATACAAATCCAACAATACATTTTGGCTCCACCATTTTTCAAGAATCAAAAAGACTTCATTGATTAGTTTTGCTTGTACTATTATTTTAATTACAATTATAATAGTAATCTTGCCACAAAAAAATTAATGTTTGAAAAACAATGAAAATGCAGAAATTTTACCAACAAAATACAATAAAATTCGCCTACACAAAAATGAACGATAAGTTTAGAAGCCTACCAAATGACTTATTTACAACTATGGATTAATGTAGATATTATGTTATTATTTCTCAGATGGACAAAGTACACTGTGATTTAACATATTTTATGAAAGGAAACTGAGAAACAAGCGTAAGTCAGGAAATCACAAGAAAAGAACAACTCTATCGTACAGAAATACGAACGATTAATAGAAAGTAAATTGCGTTTGTTTGATTCACTTTGTTCTCTGACAGTTATCATATGACTAGTTCCATACAAAAACAAACGTCGATATCACTCGATTGCACAATGTTTAGAAGTCGAAAGCAGGTCCCTACCACCAGAGAGTATTTTACCACTCTGAACTGAACCACGAGAAATTCTCCATTTGAGTGGCAAGAATGCGCGGGAATTTAAGTAATGCTCTTCATTTACGGAGAAAATACGAGATACGTTCTTAAAATTTGCTCTTCTAATTTATTTACTCTACAGAAATATTTTTTCGAAATTATTTCTGAAATGGAGGTTTAAAAAATACTGTTTTTTTAATTAATAAAATATATCCTTCGTGTAAATTTAGAGAACACCAACGTTTCTTTCTCGCATCCTCTTCCGCAGCCGTAAGTTCCATTAAACAGTTTCTTTTAAAAAATGGTTGCGTCTATTTAGACGAAACGCGTTTCCCAGCCCCTTAGAAGAGCATTGAGAGGTTTTTGAGTAATCCTCCATTATCATACTTAAAAACTCAAGTCTCGTTATTCTCGAGAGTAATACTCCATTTACATTCATATCAGTTAGTCGGTAGTCAAGAGGTCTTCCAGGTAGCATCTCCGCGTACCCTCCTATTTTTATAAGCGCTCCTGCGTCATTATCCAGAGGCCAGAATTGGGAGGGAATTAGGATAGGGGTAGAGTTTAGGACGCTTCACAGGAGTTGGATGAGCCCCTGGGAAGCTGCAAACTCGTTTTGTTGGAACAAATTTCACATGAGATTGTTCAGGAATCGAACGCAGAGCCCCTTGGTAATAGTGGTGAAAGACGAGTGGCTTCGCTCTGAGCCACGAGCCTCTAGTTTCATTTCTCTTTACCGAAAGTGTTTGGTTTGCCTAATTCACTTCTTGATAAAAATGATTTACATTACCCCTTAATTGTTAAAAAAAATTATATTGAAATCTTGTTTATTGACCACGAGATGCCGCTAAAGCTAAGTAGGTCCGAGAAACTGCAGATGCTCTCCATACATATCTCCTTCACCGAAGACGAATCATAGATTAACACTATTCATCCATGGTTGAGACTCCTTCATACAAACTTTGTGTTTGTTACATACATTCTGCTAACTTTGTAATGCTTTTGGATTAAAAATATTCATTTAAATATTTTTCAGTATAAATTACTCTAAAATGCTCTGCTTGATTTATTGGTTTCGGAGCGCGTCTGATAAGATCATTATTCCGGCACGTGAAGTGCATGCTTTATGGTGGGAGAGTGATTGAGAGTGATCTTTTGGTGGATGACGAGATCCTGTACTGATCTACATGTCAGTTAGCGTTTTTTCAGTCAGTTATATCCCACCAGTGGAGCACCCCCCAGACGCGGCAAGCTCTAAACTCCCGACATGTGTCGTAGTTAAGTGCAAGTAAGTGAGTGTACAAAGAGTGAGAGTAGGACAAGGAAGAGGAAGAAAAGATACAAGCGGTTCGTTTTAGGGTATTGTTCCGGCATTAGTCTGGCGACAATCGAAACAATTGCGGAAAACTACCGATTACCTTCCAGCTGGCCGCTGGAATTCTCCTCAAGATAGCGGCTCAACTCGACCAATTTAACAAGCTGGTATCGATATGACATCCTTTCATCATCGGGACTCGAACCCTAGAACACCCCCCTTATAGAATCCGTAGCGCTTCGGCCTCCGAGATAACATAAAATTACATTTAGTTCGCTCATCCGATTATTTCAAAAGTGTTTAATTTCCGACAATTCAAAGTCGCAGATGTTCGGTGCCAGGACTCCAAATCGATGAGAAGGCTCCGGCCTTCGGCAGAAGTGATTAAAATAAACTATCATTGAGTCCGAGATAGGCATAAGGCTACCTGGAAATGATGTTCAGAGAGTGCGACGGTGCTCTTCATTGATATAATTTTCCCCGGGATAGCGATAGTTACAGCGAGAGGACCCTGTAGACGCCTTGGATGTCGATAAATGACCGTTGAGAAGGGGTAAAACTGGAACGGTAGCCCTCACTGAAAAGAAAGGAAAACTAACTAGTACGAGGAAGTCAATAGTTCGTTAATATTTGGGCGGCTGGAACGGATTCATTGGTATTCGTTCATTATTTTTGTGGAGAAATTGTCTTCTTTTATTTCAGAACGGATTATACTCCAGGGTGGGCACTACTTTTCTGGAACGAAATTTACAAAGTTATGGATGTTATGTAGGAAATGAGATATTGTAGTTCGGCTAAACACAACTTTATTCCATCTAACTCTGTACATTTGGTGAAACTCTTTATACAATTCTAACGCCTTTCCTAAAACTGATTCTCCATCTTCTCAGCGGCGTGACGCTTCACTCGCCACGCCAGACCGTCACCTCCGACCGTGAACAGTGGAAGTCCCGGCCCTCCCTTGCTCGGTCGTCAAAAGGCTCTTCGAGGAACGGTAGCTTTAATATTGAGTGCAATTCTGAGACTAATATAACGTGAATTCTCGGCTATCCGGGAGACGCCGCGTCGTTGGCTGGGATGGGCTACCGTTCCTCGAAGAGCCTTTTAAAAATTTAGCTACTAATTTCTTTTCAAAAATAAACGCGTCAAATAATATTATTAAAAATTTAACTTTGTACGAGCTGGATCCCACGGCCGCGTACAAGCGCCCGAGAGATATGCTACGGTAGGCGAAACGCCATTGAAATTGAAAAGCATGAAATTGCGGTAAACAACGCCAAAAGGCGCAGCCGAACGGCTTATTGTCATTCACTAGCCTTGTTCTTTTTTTCTATTTGACAGGAGCAGCCATAGATGTCGAAAGAATAGATGTCTTCATAGAAGGGAGTGTGGCGGCATTGCACACCGCGGGCCACACCGGAACTCGCTGCTCCCGGATAGCCGAGAATTCATGGATTCGAGCCGCGGAAGCTTACGTATACAACTAATATAACGTGGCGCGCACAGTATGCTACGAAGGCACGCATTTTGAACTATTTGCAACTTATTCAAGTGCGCGTGTGCCACTATTTCCCAACTTGGGCAGGCGTAGTCCATAACGGGCCTAATCATGGCTTTATAGATCAGCAGGCTATTCGCTGTGGACAGTTTGCTTCGCTTATGTAATAAGCTTCGCAACATGCACAGGCGTCGTCATGCTTTTTTCGAAACCGCGTCCAGCGCTCGCGGAAAGTTAAAGCGCGGTCGAGCGTGATGCCAAGGTACTTAGTACTGGCGCACCATTCAATGTTTGAATTGCATAGCGCGAGCGGCTGCGGCTGGTCGTTTGTATCTACGTGTGAAGAGCACTGCCGTGCTCTTTCTCACGTTGACTTTGACGCGCCAGTGCTGCAGCCACTCCTGGATTAGTAACAAATTATTCAAATAGTTAACGAGCAGGTCGATTCTTTTGGATGGAGCAATTACTGCCGTGTCGTCTGCGTCAGTCTGCGGCGAGGTCGGTCTGGGTGGAAGTTTACATATCGCGCACGTACAGGCAGTAGAGCACTGGGGAGATGATGCTCCCCTGAAGCACGTCCGCCCGTATGCGGCAAGATGTGGATTTTGCGTTCAGAACCGTCACTTGAAACGATCTGTTTGCGAGGAAGGAGTGAATAAGGTGTGCAATGTAGGAGGGGAAGTTGGCTGAAATGAGTTTGGCGAGGAGGCCGTCGATCCACACCTTATCAAAGGTGCTGGCTACGTCGAGGAAAACGGCGCCTGTGAATCGCCGGTCGTTAAAGTTGCGCCGAATTCTGTCTACTATGCGCACTAGTTGATGAGTGATGCGCCCTGAAACCAAATTGTCGATTATTAATTAAAGCGTGCTTTTCTGCAAAATTTAAATTTTCTGAAGGAGAATTCTCTCAAAGAGTTTGCCGAGCGTGCAAAGAAGACTATAGGTCTGTACGACTGTGGTCCGCTGCATCGAATTGTGTAATCTCATTACTCACTGTACTGCCAGAACTGTCCTCCAGGCGTTGGCAGGCTCTTTATTCAGCGGGCGCAGCACTGACAAACCCGCGCCCTGCCTGGTACCTGTGACGCGTGTCCGCTGTTACCAGCGGCAAGGCCCGCGCGCGCGCGGCAGATTCAAAAAATCGCCGCACACGAAGCGCGCGCGGTCCGGCACGTATATAAGCCCCACCCCCCATGTGGAGAAGTTTGCGGAGTGATAATCAACGAGTCAGTGAGTTTGTGAAGCGAGTTAAAGAGGCGGATTTTCAAACTGACTTCTCCAATTTCTTAACAACGTAGTACGACTTCTAGTGGAAATGCCTCGACAAAACTTATGGTTCACTCTGTTTTTCGGTGACATTCTTTGTGTTTGGGCCTCAGAGGACATTTTGCAAAATAAACGTGGTGCGGTGAAAAAACTGTGTCCAGATTCATCACGCCTTTCAACCATTGGCGGCTGGTGGCCCTTAAGAATTGAGGGTTGCAACTCCACTGAATTTCGGAATGGAATTACCAAAATTCAGAACACTAAAAAGAAAACCTAAGCAACTCATGTAAATTCATCATCACTAAGTGAAATATGCATCATCACTAATTCTCTTCAACAGAAAATAGTTTCTACTTCGCGCCAGTAAATATGAGTTTGGAAAGTTACCATCAGTTCTCACAAGTCATCCAATATATTACCAAGAAGTCGCCACCACCTACGCGTCTTGGGAAAAGGTGGGTTGCCTTACCTTTCAGCTAGCTCAGACGGCAGAAAGGTGGCCTGAAAACAAAGGATGGAGGACGGACGTTTTTGGATGAAAATTTTTCGAAATGAGGTTAGCATCTAGTTTAATAATCCAAACAAGAAAATTATCAATAATAACGATAATGAGACTACTACGAGCTTGTTGGATTTCCCCACAATAAAAGCCAACAGACTAAACAAATTATGTTTATGAGAATTTACAAGATTTTAGCAGACTTAATTAGGAGCCAAAGCGCGGCTAAGAATCTCTTCTTTCTTTAAAAGAACCACACCAGAACATCGAGACCATTTATTTAGACGCCTGAGGAGCAGTTGAGAGCTTATAGCCAAACTCTTAAAAAAGTCACCGTGATAGTCGCTGAATCTGTTGATCCGCTGGGCTGAATGGTTTGATTCGCTCCAAGGCCGCAGGAGTCGAAGACAGGAGCAGGTAGTCAGGACGCAGAGTTTCTCAGCTGGCCGGGTGAACGCCCTCCAGACAATAATACTCGTAATCTGGTTTTGACGAAAGCACGCGGCGGTCGCTGCGGTTCCCTTAGTCGCTTCCGCATGATGAAGTCAAGTATTGGTAGCAAACTTTGCTGCACGCGGAGATTGTAATTCATACGTCCGTCGGACTTAAAGGATGTAGTAAAATATTACTTTTTTACTAAATTATGGCCAAGCATAGCACACAAGCTTATCTGGACTGAGAACACTGCGGTTCTACAAAATTTCTAAGTCCGAAATCAAACATGAATTCATCTGACTGCGCGCTGAGGTGCGGGCGCAGTCAGTGCCTCTATTCGCTTGAATGGCAGTCCTTTCAACCTTCCCCCTTCCAATCTGTTCCAATCTCCTTGTGTCCGCTCACGCGAGCGTCGACGAAAGCCCGTTTCCCCCACTCGGAATACCAAAGTTCTGAAAAGTTGTTCTTATTTTATAAATCTGATTGGTGCTAGGTTGAAACTAAAGGGATTTCGGGTGAACATTTTCCAGGAATCTGTCTCTTGTTTCCTCGTCTCGCACAGTGTGTACAAAAACCACGTGCGGGTCTAGTTACGTCGTAGAAGTAGGTCCGGGTGAACATCATTCTTACTAATGACCCCTGGGTGGCGCCGCAGAGGCTCGAAAGGGGTCGTTACGTCGTTTCTGACAGGGTATCGTGAAGGGATAAGTAAACAGAACAACGGACGGCTCGAAAAGTAGGCCCCGGGTTCTTCCACACAATAGGAGGGTTGCAGCTGTGCGTAGCGAATCGGGAGGGGGGTCGAGTGTGCGGTTATAAGATTTTGGCGTGAGAGACATATCGGAGGCAGGCTACTATTGAAAAACTATTGAAATTAATATTTTTTTAATAACAATGTATTCGGTATCGCCACAATATTCCATTATGAATGCAATCGAAATAACGAATTTATTACCTTTTACAATGTTTTATTTTCTCGTCGCTTCAAACAATTTTTAAATATGTTAACATTAATCACTGTACTATCCGTAAAAAACGTAGTATCTGACAAATAATTTCTTGGTCCTGCGGCATTACGAAGTCTTTTGTAAAAAATTAATTGTATTTTTTGCATAATTTACAAATTTGTTTTCTCAAAAACTGCTCCAAATTTTTTCTTAAAATTTTCTCCACACATATATAATATGGTACAGTAAGAAATATGGCACTAGTCTCATTTTCAGGTATTGCTCAGCTTTTTCGAAACTTGCAAAAAACATTTCAAAAATTGAAGATACAAGATTTTCACCTCAGAGAAAGTCTGTTGTACAAAATAAGTTGTTTAAAAAAGGTCATATTTAATTTTTTTTTTTTAAACGAGCAGTTTTGGAGTAATTTCTGCTTGAAATGAATAAAATATATACAGGTTTCACACCAAATAGTCAACAATATAGTATTTTATTTAATATGAAATAATGATATGAAAAATAATTTATTCAATTTTAATTATAATTTACTACTGAATATGCCAATACTAATTCTATTTTACACTCACTTTTTTTTTTTAGTCTTTACTCAATTTGTATTCTCAATGTATTGATGTATTTCTTTTTAAGCTATCTGCAAAGCTTAATAGAAATATCGCAACACTGTGGCACTGTAATTTTACAACGCTAATTTTTGTCGAATGCCGAGACATTAGCAGTGGTGAGATGTTATATATGATTTAATATTATCCGATACCTAAAAAATTTTACTTTGCTTATTAAATGCTAATTGAATTAAAGGAAAAACGAAACTGTGTTCTTATGTCAAAAGGCAACTCGGAAGTGATCAGCCAGAATTTTCGTAATTATTTTGATGTCAATTGTGAATATTCTAAATACTGTATTGATATTATTAGCCAAGTGAATGCACATATTTTGACTAGCCTGTGCTGACAACATTACATTACTTGCTGGTTTGTTGAATGTATATTTTGACTAGCCTGTGCTGGCAACATTACATTACTTGCTTGTTTGTTTGTTGAATTGTACATTTTCTAAAACTAGCTGAGGTGTTAGCAGCGTCGAAAATGCAATATTTTAATATTACATAGACGTTTCCAATAATGCGAGAGTGTGTGCTGTTGTAGGACCACTAGTTTTCTGTTAATTTGGGATGGAATGTCCCACTTTCAAGTACAAATAATTAACTTGAATCAAGGGGGAAAAAATTTAAATATTATAAATGAGACAACTAAACATTTAAAGATAGGCCAGCAAGGCCTTTTCTGAATCAGTTCAAGAGTTTAGAGGTGGTTCGTGGATGTGATATGACGTATTTGCAGTAGGTTGCCACTTGTAACTTCAAATCCAAATACATTTCCAAAGGCAAGAAGAAAATGTTGACATATTTTTGCAAGCAGCTGTATTGAATTTCTGAAATCAGAATAACACCATTAGACCCGAGTCATAGGAGCGTTATGTTGCAGTAACACATGTCATAGATTGTATCATCTTATGCATAATGGTCGAAGCGCTCATGTGCTGTTTCACTTAAGATTGTGTTATTCTAAAATGCATGTTACTTATCATACATCAATGCAATGCTTGTGTGTAGGTGCCCGTAATCGCAGGTCCCTGTATCTGGTATTGAAGTTTCCTTCACATACACCTAAAAGAACATCAATAGTAACCTGATAAAAATTTATAAAGGATTTAATCTGTAAATCGAAATTTAGGAGAGATTCAAGATTTACTTAATGTCACAAATACATAGTAAAGAAGCAATCAATCGCATTTAATTTAAAATTTATTGTATTTTCTGGCACTCATTACATACAAAATTGTTTATTTCATTTGTTGAAACTAATAAAAAGTTAATATTTTGTGTAACAAAAATCAAGCCACATTGTTATTTCTTTTCTTGCAATTATAATGTCTAAAACCATGATTCATAAGCATTAAAACTTCATTAACTGAACACGAGAAATAATTTTTAGAACAAATTTATATAAATATGATTCTTATTTTCAGACATCCACTCACATCAAGTTCTGTATACAGAACACAACATTAACATTCTTAAAAATTTCATATGTGAAAAATGACAAACGATGTACAAAGGCAATAGAATATTTCAAAAAATCTTAGTGCCTATTTCATAAATATTGATATTCATGGAAGTAGCTGTACATTAAGTTTATTCTTTCTATGAAATTAGTAGTATTTCACCACAACAGTATGTAAAAAGAATAAAAAAATTGCATCTCATTCACTAACATAGTGTAAACACATATGGAAGCACACATGTATTCTTACAATAACAATCATACTGTAATCCATTCTTTCTATGACCCATTTGCCACATCACACATGTAATCAACTTCTCACACGCAAGCTTTCTCAATCCATATGGATACATTGAATGTATCAGTCATGATCTGTGAAAGAAATTTTAAAACTTACACCTTCACCAAAAATGACCCAACATCTTGCATTGCCCAAGCATTAAATCTGACTACTGCCCTAATTGCATGGATTTCGTGTTATGCTACAGAAAATCTATATATTCTCTACAAATTACCAACCGTTATGAAAATGCGAGTTTGTAAGTACCAAATATGCTACGTAGGCAAATACTGGCAAATAACAAAATACTGACAAGTCAACAAACTCTTTTTACAAAATAATTTGCTGCCAATATCTATCCTACACTAGAGTTAATACTAATTTTGGTAAAAAGTTTTATAAAAACAATGCTGGGCACATTACAACTTAGGCTACGAAAGCTGAAAAGCTGCTCTAGGTAAGACTCTTCAACACAGACAGGATGGAATGTTCAATAATGTATAAATACGTTATGTTTAATACAAACATATTAGTACTGAAAATCAAGAACTAAATTTGGAAGCAACCTTCCAAAGAGTTAAAATAATATCTCCAACAACTTGATAAAGTTCCTTCAACAACTGCACATTAAGCAATGGCACAAAGCCTAGAGCTAGCACTGTCTTGAATTGAGCCAATGCACAACTCTCAAATTTTTATCACATTGTGATTTCAATTTCCAAGTCTTCCATCTTGGCTAGTGGTGCTTTGCGTGAACTAATCTGCAACAACAAAATGTTTTTTGAAAATTCATTTTCACGTCTTATTACCCAGCATAATGAAAACAACAGTGTAATTTAATACCAAATAAGAAAGCATTCTTACTCATCAAAAGCTGCAGAAAACTCAACAAAAATAGACAAAATATTTACATCATTGAATAACGCTTAATAATTATGACCTTCAAAATATGACTGAAAATTATAAATCATGAAACACTAACTATCAAAATTGAGCATAAATATAACTCTTCATAATACAGTGGAAAAGGTTTTCAAGGGGTGGGTTTTTTTTTTTTTTTTTTTTTTTTTTTTTTTTTTTTTTTTTTTTTTTTTTGCATCAACTAGAATGAATCAATAATATTTGCTACATTTTTCTTGATTATATCTATGACCAGCACCCTCTATGAAAATACAGCTCGCTTGTTTATCATGCACTCTACTTACTCATGATGCCTGAAAGGTTGCATGAAACAAAGAGAAATTAATTACATGCCAAATGGCAGATCTATTTATGTTACATTCTACCGAAGCACCCAGAAAGAGAACCAACAATGAATACAGAATTAATTAATCAAGGTAGAAAGCACACATAAACATAAATTTATAGAAACTGTCCAGCATGTTGAATAGGTACAATAAGAATGACTCCTTTTGTAATTTTTATTTTTACAATAAAAAGGTGGCAATTGTTTGAAGTTAGTGTGTCAGTTTTGTATGGTTCTGGCCCTAGCATGTGATTTATTCACAAAATGTAAAATCAATTGGTATGTTACTAATATTTGATGAAAGCAAAAGTGAAATGAGAGGTATATTAAGTGGCTTTCTAACCTCATTGAGTGTTTGAGAAGAGGGCTGCCCGTCTGCAGAGGTGGGCTCAACAACTGCTACTGAAGACAGCACAATACACAATACATCAAGCAGTCTTAATAGAAAGTTTACTAATCTACAACATATAAGGGATATTCTTTCATGTGAGGGTACCTCAGAGATGTGAACAGGCTAAGTATAATGGAGAAAAATAAATTAATGTTAGATTTACACAGAAAATCTTAACATTGAAAACAATGGAACAATACGCAACAGTTACTTTACTAAATGATACAAATTACAGTAATGAAGCTCATGCACTCGGCACCCTCTCTAAATCCATTACTCTTCAATACAAGTAACATGAAAAAGATAGATAAGACTTAAAAACTAAATACAAAGTCAAAATTAAAATATAGTAAAACTACTTGTGTTAGTTTAACAAAATGTAACAACATTTGGAAAAAGAAAATTGGAATTCTTTTGAAATTTATGAAAAAAAATTTCAACCACTTGTGATTTGGCTTTTAACTTTCTTTTATATGTATATGTTCAGAGTAATATACGTAGTATAGAGAAAGTTATGCGATGGTGTGGTAAATCAATTTTGAGTTTTGAACAGATATATATTTTGTAATTCCCTGATACCAAAAAAACTTTTTTTTTTCAAAATATCCTCCTGTCCAACTGCATCTCAGTTTATGTCTGCCAGCCCATCAATTTGTGAACTCAGGCCTAAACTATTCTTAGAATTTTTCCCAAAACAAATAATCCCTGCTAGATCTGGCTGAAGTCTAAGCTCTTTACACGATACCCTAGGGACATTTTCAAAGTTTTCCCCAAAAATACTCAAAATTTGTTCTTGTAAGAATAGAGTGAAACACACTGACAAAGATGGCATAGTTCTGAATTTCACTGTTAAATCTGATTTTTCAAAAATAACAAAAATTTGAAAATTTTTTCGGTGTCTTCTCACAATTACAATATTGATGATGAAATATGTTCTCCACAATTAAAGCTATAATTAATGTCTTTTAGTGAAATAGGGTGACTAGATGACTAGAGTGAATAGGTCACTAATGTGAATAGTAATTTTTGAGTGAAATAGGGTAGAATTAATAAATTTTAAAAACAAGATTTTCTCAAAAACAACCCCAAATTTTTACAATTCTTTTTGTGGATAGTGCAAAATGCAATGAGTAAGTTGACATTAACTCCATTTTACTGGATTCTTTGTTTTTTTCAAATTACATAATGTAATTTGTTACAATTCTCTCTGCTGTTAAAATTAATATTACGAACAATTTGTATACATTATTGCGTAAGTGAGCACAAATGCTTCAAATGATGACTTATAAAGTTTCTCTAAAACTCATTATTTTTTTGTGAAAATGAGCTGCTAATTCTGCATGTTCAGAAACACTCAAATGTCACTTTCTCAAAAAGGGCTCTAAATTTTTATTAAAAAATTTTCGTGTAGTACTAAATTCACGGTATAAGTTGACATCAATGCCACTTTGCAGTATTCCTTTCGGAATTACAGAATTACACAAATGCATTTTTTTGAAATCTCTTATGTTCTGGAGCTCATTTTCACCCAAAACTTTAGTTTTCAGAAATGCTAAAATGGCATGTTCTTAAAAATGGCATCAAAATTTTCAATGAAAATATTCTTATAGAACCAGGTTATACTCTTCAATGTTCTTTAAGTCATATTCAATTTTACTATTAGTGGAATTTTTTTTTTATTTTTTTTTTTATTTATTTTTTTTTTTTATGCAAAGATATGTCCTCAAGGCATCAATAGATGGCAGCTGAGAAGAAGTTGGTACAAAACCAAAAAATTAGCCCAGAATCAAGAGATAAGAAAAGTAACTAATACGAGAAAGTCGTGCCTTTCTGCAGCACCACTAGTTTTCACTTTCTCACACTTACTTTCTAAGAAAAGAAGATATGGTATTTGTGTGGTGGAAAATGGCAAATTTGTGACAGAAAATCTCTCATTGTTGCACCCTGGTGCAGAAAAATTGGACAAATCTGGTTCCTACATGTAGTAAATTACTTTCCCTACCACATTGTGTTATTCATTTTACAAGAAATGAATATGAATTTCAATTCATTCCTAATTACCTTCCAGTAGGTATTCCTCTGGGATGATGAATTCGGAAGTACGCAGCAATATTTTTGAGTGTAACAATATTTATAATAAATATCAATTAATTAATTAAACCAAACAATTTCTGAAGATGCTGATATTGAAAATAATAAATGACAATGCATAACAACTTTTAAATAGTAAGGTTGTTGTATATTTTTCTATTTCTACATGTAAGATTTCTGAAGAAATAAAAAAAGTGTACATCATAAGATATCCAAATATCCAGCATGAGTACTAGAGTGTTAAACAGAACGATGTGCATAAAGAGCAAAAATGGATTACTTAATGTTTGGAATCAATATACATAATCTTATTGTGCACATTTTTACTCTAGGAGCATAGTGTAGTAAACTTTTTTTTTTCCCTTCTTCATATTTGAACAAGTAAAATATAATATATTCTAAATATATTTTTTACTTGACTAAAAACTGGTGATTTTTAACTTGTTTAGGTTTTTTTGGAAGTGACAATATGTAACTGTAGCAGTTGACAAGCAGCCAAAGATATACAATGACAGCGCACTTAAGTTAACAATTTGATGTCTTCAAAGCTTTTGTCAAATCTCTGCCAAGAACTAATATTCAAAGAGTTCTTACATGAAACACTTGTCACACAGGTCACACAGGTGTATCTTAATTACGAAGGTTAGTACATGTTTTTATTCTCCACTTCATTACTTGTCTCCCATTGAAAAAATTAAGAAAATAGGTAGGTACTTCCTTCTCTTAACTTAATTATTCTTCCTTCATTTACACTTAATTATTCTGCCTATGGTCATCAAGAGTACATGCGTGCGTGAGTGCACACGAACGCACATGCACGTGTGCATGTTTAACTAGATTTTTTCCAGCTCCACAAAAGCAATCCAGATAACGACAAATTAAGAAAAAATAATAACAAAATCCAAGTTAGAGAACTGTTGAAAAAGGAAAGTCAGCTTTCACAAGGTACTTACTTGCCTTTCACTTCTATTGAGGTATTTACTTTTATTAGGTTTACTTGTCTGGAAAATAGAATAGGACAATTCAGAAAGGCTGCCAATTTCTTTTCGTAGTATAGCAAAAGAAATTGCACCTTTCGAATTGTCCGTATCTATTTTCAGAAAGTGGAAAAGAACATTTTTGTGTGCATAAGTACAGGATCGAAGTATATTGAGAAAGATTTGACAAATATGAAACGTTGTAGTATGAAGAAAGCACTGTTTAGTATTTCAAATGTAAACCAAAATTTATTAGAGTAAAATAATAGACTTGCTTTAGCCTGAGCAGGTAACTCACAATTTTAGTGCATTCAAAACCTCATCCTCAATATATTAAATACAATTATATTGTAATAAATATGTTAAAACGTATTACTGATTCAATATCTGAAGAATGTTAAACAAAATTACACTTTGCGTCTCATAGGAAATAATTTCTCGACTTAAAACATGTAACCACCATCTGAGGTAATGTTTGTTTGGGAAGGATTTTACTGAAGAAATTGTAAAAACAATATGCAGTAAAACCTTGTTTATACATTCCTCCATTGTACATTTTCCTGCCTTTTACGTAATATTTGTTGGCTCCATCGTAGAGCCTATATTAACAATGCATTCTCTTCCCACAATTTACAGCTTAATCTGATGAGTGCGTCTATTGAAGAGCGAGTCTTTCACGTCGTTTTGTTCTCTTTATTGTTAAATTTTTTTGTATATGTGCTTATTATACAGAGAAAGATACATAGCGCAGAGAAAGTTCTGCAACGACGCAGAAAAAAAACAGCCATTGTTTAAAAGGAAAAAACTTGTACTGATACAGAAAAAGTGGATAAATCCTGCTCCAAAATATTGTCAATTGATACATATGTACTACATATTGATGTAGCAAACTCGCAGAGCCTTGCGTTTATTCAGATTAATTGGGGAATATCAATTTTGAAGAAAATTGGCTGAAATGTTTCGGCGCCAGTGTTGCCCATAGACAAACAGACGTTTTGCGTTCAATTAATTTTTTGGTTTCAAGAACCTACAAAATATGGAACTGCCCACACCACGTGTTAGAGGTAGTGTTATAATATAGGCCTACAGGAACATGATTTATCCACTTTTTCATTACCTTCAATAAGAGTTTTTCCAGTCGAAAAATTAACCATTTTCTGGCGTAAAATTATAATACCTTCTCTTCTTAGTCTGAGTGAGGAAGCTTCGACTCGAACTAGATGGACAGGGGTTTCTTTATTTTGGAAATATCCTATGCATGGTTTAACCACTGGCGATGTTCACAGATGAAAGATTGGATGGATGGACAATTTGAAGAAAAAATACCAACACTTCCGTTGAAATCTTGGAATTGATTTTCTGCAGCATTACATAACTTTCCCTATACTAAATATACTACTCCGTATATAAGTAAGTATGTAGGGGGGAAAAAAAGGTCCCGATCAAATTGAATATGGTTGAAATTGTTTTGTCTGAATATTAAAAGTTTTCCCAATTCTAATTTATAAAATACAGAACCCATAAACCAAAAGTGGTGCATTTCAAAGTAATGGAGCATCCATAAGAGAAGTTGCATATTTACTTTGTGTTAACCGACAAATAGCATGCAAGTACTGTTTCTCTTTAAACAAGTTGACAATTTTCTTCAAAGGACAATTCATAAATAATTTTGTAACGCATTAATAAACAGAAAGCACACATCACAACAAAAAAAAACATAAGTTACTAGGACACTAACTAGCCTGCCTACACACACACACACACACACACACATGCGTGTGCACATATATCTTTTCAAGAACACAATAACATTAACAACAAATATTAACCCAAAAGAATGCACAAAAGCAAGCAGAAACAAACAATACAGAAGAAACTGAGAAAAAAATGAATAAAAATCCTGACAGAGAATTAATATTATTTTGGGAAACAAAGTCATTCAAATAATAAAATTTATTTAAATATTCTAAAATATTTAATTCACAAGTATTCCAATATTCATTTGTAGGAAACAGGGCTGATACATCAAGGGAAAGTTAAATGACGCAGAGAGGAGCCATTAAATGAAACAGACGCAAATCTGCCAGAAAATCCAAAGAAACACAAAAGAAGAGATGAGAAAAAAAAGGGGGGAAGCGTATGCAGTATGAATTGTAAAAAAGAAAAGACTGACTATGGAAACTAAGATAGCTAATAAGATAAGATAAGATATTTATTTTTAAATCGAAAAACTACATTCAACACTATTTCTTACTTGTGGTCGGAAATTTGAACTAATCTCAGATGAAAAATGAAGCAAAATTTACTTTGAACATGAATTTCAAATTTAGAGTGAGTATGATATAGAATTTTGAAGCTGAATTAGTACAGTTAGTTTTCACAGAAAACAGGAAGATTTTCTAAACAAATTCATAAAACAATTAACTAGTATAATTAAATATTTAAGGCCAACATCATCAAAATTATTTGAAATACAATACTCACTGTTACTAGAATTTGTAGAATTAACTACAGTGGTACCACTGCTTATTACAGTTGTTTTAACAACAGATTGGGTTTCAGTCCTTGTGCTGAATTCTAGTCTCTCATTTTTAATCTCTGTAATTCGGTTTTCCTCAGAAGATGTCCTGAAACAAGAAGATGCATTTTATATTCAAATTCGACATATACAAAACCCATGAAATTAAATATGAAATAGAAATAGACATTCTAAGGAAAAGTGTGATAGCCAAATGACCTCCCCCCCCATGTTAATATAAAAATTTAATATGATGTTCATTACAATTAATTTGTACATGCAATATGGGCAAGATGGACGAGTTGCTGTGGTAACAAATGTAAACAAACAGCAGTTGCAGAAAATATAAATATATCCATTTTGTATTCCACAATTCACATAGGTGGAAAGGCAAAGACCCTTGCCAATTGAAAAACTATGTACACAGATGCTGTAGTCATGGTCAGATGACAGACAATCTCTGCTTTATCTCAGTACCCGCTGAGCTGAACAGATTGCAGATAGGTATGCTCTAGTCTTCGTGTTAGATAGGAAATCATTAGCAGTTGGGGTCCTGATTACTTAGGAAGAACTCGATGTCAAGTTTAGGAGGGATCTGATGTTCATTTTTATATTCTAAAAAAATATGAGAATGATGTTAAAGATTGTAATGACAATATTGTAAAAAATTAACAGTCGAATAATGGACCGGGAATTTGATTTGTAATATTTTGTTGTAGATTAGGGATGAGATTGTTACTGTTTATGTTTGCAAGAGAATTAATTTATTTATGTTACGAAGTAACAGGTTGAGGTACCCACCTGCGGCGGCCTGAGGGAAGTGCAGTTTATATGGAGTGTATTGATCAATAATTTATCGGTGAAATTATTTATGAATCAATAGTATTGTGTGCCAGATTTTTGAGAATATTTATCGAAACGTCTTAGATAATAGAGGAAATTTAAATAAAGATAGATGACACCAAGGGACTTTGGACATTTTACTTTGAGGCAGGATCATCCACGAAGTTAATAAGAGTTTGCGTAAGCAATAAAGATATATATTTATTTGATCAATGGATAAAGAATTTAAATATTCAAAAGAACATTTTAATTGAAATTGTGTAAGAAACAGTCATTATCAGAGTTAATATGTTCTCAGATAAAATTAGCTCATAATTTACAGTTTCTCAATTTGATAAATGAACAAATGTTATATTTCTTTATTTGAAATAAGGCTGATCAATTGGTAGTGAGTTGCAATCATTGAAAACAATTCTCATTTAGATCAAATTTCAAGAAACTGCCATTCCGACGAACGTCTGCGTATGATAATTTGCGTGTCAATCAGTTGTATGTTGACACCCCTGCGTCAGGACACGTGAATACTTAACATTAAATGTTCGCTCACAATATAGTAATATTTAAAATGAGAAAGGATTGCTATATTACTGAACTTACATATGAGTAAGGCAGGGAATTACTAGCAACAAAAAATCAATTCAAATTTGCAGGGGCTAGAGGACTGCAAGAGCGATTGCAAGAAAATTAACAATGAAGAAAATCATCTGAACGATTTTGGGACTAAGTTTTGTGAGCTACTGATTTTTAATACAAGAACCATGTTTAATCAAATAGAAGTGGCCTCTGAATATCAGACAACGCCCTAATTTTGAAGAGGCCTCCTGACAATTTTTTAAATTTTCAACTAATTCTTGATATTTAGTCAAAATAAAATTGCACATTGTCTAATTGACTAGAAAATTGTCATGCTGATGAAAATGTTAAGACTTAATGCCTGAACTATCATTTCCTTGCTCCTTAAAATAGTAATCTTAATCATGGTTTTTGAAACTTTCCTAATCATCTTCACATGTATCAATGTTTCTTTTTGGTCCTCCTTCCAAGCTGCAACATCTAACTTTTTAGAAAGATCTGTGCACTGATTTTGTTGTTAGTCTTTCATCTGATGCTACCTAAGAACATTCTCTTCTGTTCCATCGGTTATTCTATCTGTCCTGCACTTGTTGATGATTTTTTGTTTCTTCAAGTTTTTTCACATTCTTTAACAGAATATAGTTGAAATTAGCCTTGTTAAATATTCTTGTGATCCAGTCAAAAACTTTGAACTCTCTAAATCTCTGTTTTTGAAATTGAAATGAAATTTTCCAAGTTTCCACGATTCCAAGTTTCCACGATTCCAAGTTTCCACGATTCCAAGTTTCCACGATTCCAAGTTTCCAAGTTTCCACGATTCCAAGTTTCCAAGTTTCCACGATTCCAAGTTTCCAAGTTTCCAAGTTTCCAAGTTTCCAAGTTTCCAAGTTTCCACGTTTCCAAGTTTCCAAGTTTCCAAGTTTCCAAGTTTAGTAAGTTTTTGCTACGAAATTTTTTTTTATCATCCGTTTCTGTGGTTGGAAGTAGAATACATGGCTGTCAATGCACTCCCCCCCACCCCCATTTCTTGCAAAATGCAGATTCACACTTGTCTAGAGTCTAAACGACATTCCGCATTGTTTCGTCGAACACATATTGTGTAACAAAACTTTGGTTTGCCATTTGTTTGAGACTCTCTTTTTAACCGGCCCATTCAAAACCATCTTTTTGAATTGTCCAGCAAATTTGTGGTAGATGCCAAGAATACGACCATGAAAATAATTACATATTACAAATACGCATGATATTTTGACCATCGTCCCAGCTTATTGCTATGTCAACATTCAAGAGTTTTGTGACATGTAAAGGCAATGCAAAACAATAAACCCTAACCAACTAGGCTTAATCTGCAAACATAAGTCAACTCCGCATTTTTCAACTTGGATATTTAGGAAAAAACAGTTTCTACCCACTTCTCCCTGTTCTGCCCTTTCATCACCTTATTAAACACCCCTCTGTTACCTCTCTCAATTCCTACATTTGGGTAAATACAGTAATCCTTTAAGAATTTTTCATATCCTCATTTGAAACTGAGACATAATCAAAATTACAGCAAAGTGGAAATTTTTCTGATCTTAAATCATGAGAGAACGTAGGCTCCCGCGGCCGGAGTCAGTATTTACTTGGCTGTCCGGATCACGCCGCGTCCATTACGAAGGTGCCGATGTTCCAGTCGCCATTCTACAACCTTCCTCAGGGCGTAATGCGATATGGAATTACGCCCTGAGGAAGGTCACAGAATGGCGACTGAAACGTCGGCATGGACGCAGCGTCACCCAAACAGCCAAGTAAATACATCTTAAATCATGTTTGAATGGATTAAGTAGAGTTCTAGAAAAGACAGAAAAGCATGGGCAAAGAGTTACTTCAATAGAGACAATTATGATGAAAAAAATTTACTTACATCAGGTGATCCTTAACAGAGTCAATTGTGATGTCCCCAACACTGAGAGCACTCATATCATGCCTATCTTCTTCTGTTCCATTTTCTTTAGGTTCATCTGGTTCTTGAACAATAGGTTCTATAAAAACACACCAAATTAGTACAGTAAAAAATATTCATATAGAGCTTTGAATTTTGAATATGTATATTGGAAATGTTCTTCCTTTCCTTTAAGTATGTAAATTTCTGTAGCTCTTTGTAATAGCTTGGTGATGTATATAAAGAAATTCTGGTTTGATCTCCTTCCCCCGCTGACATTATATATTATACGAACTACATTTCTTGCTACAGACATAGCTTACCAATATACCCATTCACCGCCAACAGTCTCAATAGAGAAGTATTCTTTGTATTCAGAAATGATTACCTAGGTATTTGGTGCAATTAAATTGATAATTAATGCCATTCAATTTGATATAGAAATCTGCAAGCTCTCAACTTACAATGTACATTATATATTCAACCTTGACTGAAGCTTTATCATTAAGGTTCTGAAATACCTGCATGGTCTGTGTCTCCATTGACAGTAGGAGGAATTGCTTGGACTTCTTGTGCAGTGGGAGAGGGAGCAGCACTTTCTCTTCCTTCAATTTTGCCTTCGTCACCTTTCTCTTCATCTCCTTCTTCCTCATCCTCATCCTCATCTTCCATATCTTCCTCATCAGTTTCAGTTGCCTTTGGCCTTGCTCCTTCTGGAAGTTCTAAACAACATCTGGGCTGGGTGATTGTGGACGCAGATAAAGTAATCCTTTGCAATTCACTGGATGAATGGAGATAAAATGCTTCACCATTTTTCGTAAAAGTCAAACTGGAAATACCACTGTAAACAAATTATCAGAAATCTGTATTGATCGTACAGTATTTACAGTACACAACTGACAAATCTTACACTTCAACACAAAGTCATTGGCATACTTCCTCTGTTTATATTATTACACTTACTTATAATAAATAATACTGAAATTTCATTTAGAAAGCAAGTTTCAGATTTTCAAGCTAGTCTACGACATACACCGAAATTCCAAACGTAAGGCAGTATGGTCAATATTTGTATAATATTAATAAAAAAACTAAAGCAAAAAGAAGGGTCATTTCAAACCTCACAATGGCAGCACATTTAGACACTTGTTCAGCATTAAAGAATTATCTGATGAATCAGCATTTGATGATGATATATTATGAGAAAGTGAAATGAAAAGGTTAGCTTTCCACTAACTAGAAGAAGCAGGTATTGATTTTCCAAAATGCATGCATTTTTGCTGACAGAAGCAAATGAACTGTGAATTGTGCAAAGCCCTACATACAACAGTTGTGGAATGGGTATGATGTAGGCCAATGGCAAATGACCTACTTTTCAAAACTACATTCTTCTTCGAAGTACTCATATTTGTCCCTTTCTTGTGTGTTCTGCAGTCCCCCCTCTTCCCTGCCAGAGATCTTCAGTCCCTGATCCCCTCTCTTTGTCTCGCCAAGAACACTGTCACTGTAATCAACACAGGATTCCCCATGTCATTTACACACTTGACTGCATGCAACAAAACACTCAGGTATTTAAAATGGAAAAAGACTGTAATTCTATGAAATTTTTTTTTCAACTTTAAAACAGATTTTTCACCAGTTTCATTATCTCCAATTTAAACGAACACAGGAAATGAAACAACTCACTATTTAACTTACACTTCTGGATGTGTACTCTTAATTTCACATATTAGTATTAGTTGACAAGATTACTTTCATTGAGAATATGGTCCATTAATGATCCACCTACTAATGATCCACTTTTACAATACTAAATTACAATTACAAAAATAAATGTTGATTTACACAAAGTCCTGTGATGCACTTAGAAGTTGAAGTAAGTCAGGTTTGTCATGAAAATGAAAGTGGAAAGTTGAAAAATGGAGTATTTAATACTAATTTAATAACTGATAGGCATTTATGAGAGAGTGTACCTGTTCATACCCATGTGTACCCATTTACGAGGGGCCACTGAAATATACAAAGCAATGTGTAATCATGTTTGTGAACAAGGTTCTATCAACTTTTGTAGGCTGCAAACAAGTTGAACAAATCTTCCATTTTTGCTGACAAGCATTACAAAAGTAGTTGGGAAACCAGCAGCTGCTACAGAGGTAGGGATAGACAATAAGCATCAATGGAACACTACAACCCCTAATGTCAAAGAACCTTGTCCTCCTGACAATATTGAAGGCAATTTTCAGCAACTATCACTCGTTGCAAGGTGCAAGGAGCCTCAAGTTCAGCCCACAGAAGCAGAATTGGATACAATGCATATTTGTTTCTACAGGCAAATGCTGTTTTAAAATCAAATATAGAAGTAAACCACAAACTTATTAATGTGTTTTTCTTACTCTTAATGAGTAGTCTAATAATTTGGTTACTTCCATAAACATTGGGCAAAGCACTTTTAACACCTTTGCTTCATACTTTTCACAAACGAAATGAAGCTGAACTCTGCTCATTTAACTATTTATAGATGAAATTAGCAGAAAAAGGATATATTAAAGAAAATTTGGCTACATATTACAGACCCTTTCAATACCTAAAACTCTTTTCACGTTTATTTTCATGACAAACAAAACAATTCAACAAAACAATCAGTTGCACAAACCAAATAAATACAAAAACTACCGTCAATTCATGAAAACGCACAAAACTAAGAGACTGAGATGTAACAGAAGAACAGAGATAACAGAAAGAAGAAAATGGCCAAGTACATTAAATGTAAGAGCAAAGAACATGACCAAATAAATACAACGAAGAAGTGAAAGAAAGAGAGAGAGAATGAAACAGTCCGAAAAAAGCACAAGAGAGTAGTTAGAGCACAAAAACAATTTTCATATTTTAACTTACTTAATGTCTTCTCTACGAATTACAGCAGCATTCAACTGCCTTCTAAGTTCTGGCACACTCAAAACAATACAATCTCCCAAATTTGTCAAACACAGTAAACAACTTTCTGTGTATTGCGTTGAAGAATCAGGTCGTGAAGTAGAGAAGGCTGCAAAGCCAACACGTCGCACACGTGACCCTTCATGAGCTGTTAATTTGAACTTGCAGAAAGGCTTCAAACTTGGCAGCGTGAAAATCTGTAATACACATTTTCCATAAAATTTAGAACTCGCAAAACAATAATCGTATAAAATGGGTTTTGTTAATATACCTTAAATTGCTCTTCTGAACAAATAACAACACGATGAGGCGTTCCTGTGTCTACTTGTTTGGCGAGACCTCTCTCCACTTCTAGAGGATCTGGCAAAGGAACACTAGCTCCATCCAATATGGATACTGATATGACAGGAGCTCTGTGTTTTAACTGAATTTCTTTCCCAAGCTGGCAAGATACATCTTCTTCAGTACGCTTCTGTCCACCAGGTACAGTTATGGTGAAAACAAACACAGTTCCATTATTTGTTCCAGCCCACAAAGTTGGAGTCATCGATTGAACTGTAAACAAGGTATAATAGTTACTTCCAATACTTGTACATACTACTTTATATAAAACTTGATTCTCAATAATGAATAATGAACTTCCAAGACTGCACCATCTTCTATTAAATGACACTTCTAAATTTTGTCATTAACACAACAAAAACAACAGCAAATCAATTCTAAAGAGGACTATTAGGGGCCATCAAGTTACAGTACGAAAGCAATGCTTCAGATATTAATTTCATTTATTCTTATATACAAGAAACATGAAACAAAACAAAAATCAATTTAAGTAAAGTGCGGCAAAGTGTACTGTAATGCATGGGTCACGTCACTCATCTTGCCTCATGCCCCAGGCTTCCGAGAGTTCTCAAATATATTGCGCAGTTCATACCAGTACGGAAGACAGTTCCTGATGATTCCTGAACATTTCTAAGTAATTCGTCTTCAGGGCAAACAGAGCTCCAGACTGTACTGGTTTGTATTGTGTAAATGTCATGAGCATTATACAACTACGTGTAAAACCATCTTTTTCTGCAGCACGTTATGGTAATTTTTCACCACTGACCCATTTGCCATCCCACCTCCAGAGACGTCCTTCATAGTTATGGACAAACGTTTGACCTGACTGCCATTACACCACAACCCAGAAATGCAACCACAAGCTCAGAAAATCATCACACCCAAAAACATAATAATAAAACAAAATTGTTACAACACCCTCTAAACTATTCATTGTTGATTTCATCCATTACATACTGAATGACTAACATCTTCAGTTGCAAGTCATGTGTTGGCAAATCAAGTGTTGAAAAGTCAAGCATTGTTATACGAATGAGAAGTTTTATAAGCATGACAATAATAAAGAAAAGCCAAAAAATAAAGAAAGAGAACAAGACACCAAAGTAATATATTAATGAATTAAAATTTTAAACTTAAGAAGCATGTTATTAAAATAATGTGACATGGCATCAAAATTGCGACTATTCATTAATCTGTTTTCCATCGTAACACCAATCCCTGTGCATGGAGAAAAAAAAGAGAGAGAAAGAAAAAAAATGCAAAGGAGATATGCTTTTTAACAATCACTCACAAAAAGGTCCGTTTAAAAAAATGCTCAGAAAACATCACTTTATATAAACCCTCAACACAAAACACCACGAGTCTGTTACTGCTGTGTAAGGAAGTATCCCTCAGTTCTGCATCTAACAGATTTATGATAAAAAATTGAAGTTTGCAAAATATGGCAGGGGAAAAAGCAGGCAACATGTACAACCAGCAAATAAAGTTATGGTGTAACAAATTTTAAAGATGAATCCTAGGCCATTAAAACCATGTTTTCACTTTCGAACAGGAGAGGTTCAAACCAGGTTTCTTAAGCTGTATTCTACAAAATGAACCTATTGAACTTTTAGCTGTTCCGGGTAACACAACTTCGTAGCGTGGGTGTTTAGAAATAAGCAGATATAAAATAGAAGTGACTTTCATTTTTGTTATAATTTCATCTGAACACTTAGTAACTTTAGAATGTTTACTCAGACACAGTACTGAATACAAATTGTTGCAGGGTGACTGGCAGAAACCTCAATTTATTTTCCTTGTTTTTTCCTAGAGTTATTATCATTCGCTCTGAGTTACAAGTACCATTGCATTACTTATTATATAATTGCACTTCTAATTTTTTATTACTTAAATTTCAAATAAAAAGACGTTTTTGCTGTTTTTCATACATACATATGAGAGAGGAGAGGAGAGAGAGGAGAGGAGAGAAGAGGAGAGAGACGAGAGGAGAGAGAGAGAGGAGAGAGAGGGAGAGAAGAGGAGAGAGGAGGAGAGAGAGAGGAGAGACGAGAGAGGAGAGAGGGAGAGAGAAGAGAGAGGAGAGAGAGAGAAGAGAGAGGAGAGGAGAAGAGAGAGAGGAGAGAGGAAAGAGAGGAGAGAGGAAAAAGAGCAGGAGAGAGGAGAAAGAGAGGAGAAGAGGAGAAAGAGAGGAGAGGAGAAAGAGGGATAGAGAGAGGAAGGAGAGAGAGGCAAAGAAGGAGGAGAGAGGAGAGAGAGAGGAGAGAAAGAGGAGAGAGGAGAGAGAGAGGAGGAGAAAGAGGAGAGAGGAGAGAGGGAGAGGAGAGAGGAGAGAGGAGGAGAGAGAGAGGAGAGAGAGAGAGGAGCGAGAGAGGAGAGAGAGAGAGGAGAAGAGAAGAGAGAGAGGAGTGAGAAGAGAGAAGAGGAAGAGAAGAGAGAGAGGACGAGAGAGGAGAGACGAGAGGAAGAGGAGAGAGAGAGGAGAGAGAGGAGAGGAGAGGAGAAGAGAGAGAGGAGAATAAAGAGAGAAGAAGGAAGAGAAGAAAGGAGAGGGAGAAGGAAGAGAGAGGAAGAGAAGAGAGGGAAGAGAGAGAGAGGAGAGAGAGAGAGGAAGGGAAGAAGGTAGAGAGAGAGAAGGAAGAGAGAGAGAGGAAGAGAAGAGAGAGGAAGAAAGGGGAAAGAGAGAGAAGAGGAGGAGAGAGAGAGAGAAGGAAGA